AAAAAGGCCACCTAAATAGGGACTAGTTTCCCATAGAAAGTTCTCTCGGAAGGCGCACCTGTTGAACCCTGCAGGTCGCCTAAGTATTGCGTTGCCTTGTCCCATTAATTCAATCCATCTTTTATTAAAAAAATACACGGTGTTTATAATTAAAGTTACACTTTGAAATGGCCATAAAATGAAAACTACTGGACAGAATGTTATCAAACCTGGTAATAATGTACAGGACGTCATGGGATTTTATTTTCTGCGAAAAAAGTTCAAAAACTCATTACCAACGGGAAATGACGCTGTCTGCAATATTGTTAAACGAAATAAGACACGAATACACTGTTGAAAATGTTTTTAATCGGTTTTAAACGAAACTGTTTGTGGGGTTACTCCTGATATGCTAAGAGCTACTGTTGAGAACACAGTAATGCGATGTAACTTGCTTATCAAAAATGGTGGACACCACATTGTACACGCTCTGTAACGCGTTTTAAAACCGATTAAAAACATTTTCAACGATGTCTTCGTGTCTTATTTTGTTTAACAATATTGCAGACAGCGCCATTTCCCATTGGTGGTGAGGTTTTGAGCTGTTTTCTTCGCGGGAAATAAAATCCCATGACGTCCTGTACACTATTACCAGATTTGATAACATTCTGTCCAGTAGTTTTCATTTTATGGCCCTTTCAAAATGAAACTTTAATTATAAACACCCTGCATTATACAGTACTCAAAGATTGAATGTAGTGTATAAGTCCCGTTTTTGGTTTTGTTTTTTTCGTATACGACATCATCCCTCGGTAGATCGCCCATGTGTCTCACACGGGCGATCTGACGAGGGAGGATGCCTTCTGGGAAATTGGCCCCTATTTAGATGTTACTAACGTGAAGAAAACCCGGAAAACTCCACATGAGCCTTACCGAGGCGCGAATGTACGACCAGTGTTTAGTGGTTTTATCCACTCGGTCAATTGATGGGCAAGTCACATGTTCCTTTATAGAAATGAACCGAGATCAAAACCGAGAACTGTTATATCGAAATCCTCATTCTTGAGAACTTGTATAATAATTAGAAAGATAGAATATTTGACGTCATTATTTAAGCTTAAAACGAGTGAATGTGCAATTTAGATATTTGGAAGTGGTAGATACGCGTTTTGCGTGTCGTTCAACTTATCCTGGTGTTTCAATTAGATTAAACTTAATTCAGTTATCCAAAGCATAAATACTAGTATAGGTATCCCTCGTACAATACGGTTTCTCTCTACCAAGGTTTGGGAAAACCTTCGTAAAAAATTTCACAGTTTTTAAGTGTAAACTACGTTATTCGTTTTTTTCTCCTCGAGCAAACACGCGTGTTGTCTCAAATTTGCCCATGGATTTTAGAATATTGAAATTTTCAAATGACTGTATTTTGTATTTTTCATCAGGTTTACTTTAATGAAAACTGATAGTAGAATTTTTCTTCTTTGTCCGAACTTTCTTATCAATTAGGTGTCGTCGTCGTTGCTTTCAGACTTTAGCCCTTAAGACTGTTTTCTTTTTATAGATTAATCTTCGTATTTAGTACAGGTTTATTTAAGCATTTTTAGATAGGTGCTATTAAACCTTTTTAACTGTAGGTAAGCAATCATTCGTAAAACGACGAACGAAATACGGCGGTATCTCGGCACTCGACTGAACAAACACAACCCGCTAGAACAAAGTTTCGATTAATAACATATTTTTATTTCGTCGTCCAAAAAATTTTTATGATAAACTTCTAATCAAGATCAACAAAAAAGCTGAGATGACGACGATATTTTGTAAAAAGAAAACGCGGTCGTTTAACTAAAATTAATATTGACGCGTAATTCTGTGCTTTTAATTGTGATTGTTAATTAATTATTGATTGGAAATGTATTATCGATTGCTTTAATAAACACATTTCTCTTAGTAACGAAAAAGAATAGTATACTTTGCTAACTTCTGGGACGCAACCCTATGTTTTGCAAGTCCTTTGTTTCGTATAGCACGGATTCGCATAACACGGCACTTTTTCGAAACGTAACTACCGTGTTATACGAGGGATAACAGTATATATTACTTATTTATTTCTAAAGTATGCAGATGCTGTTTATCTTTAATGGACTTCATCGAGTATGGTTTTGATTGTGATTGATTGGATTCTGGTGATATTTCAAAAATAATTTGTATAGAGAACTTTTTTAGTTTCCGTCCTGTTGGAAGTAATAGGGCGTTTTTTTTTTCTAGACTCGCCGTGGGTTCGGCTATGCCCACAATGAAGCGACCGGGTTGCGAAGGAGTGGCCCGATATATTCTGAGACTGGGGTTGCTCGGCCTGAACTCCCGGAGGGGTGGGTGGAAATCATCCGACCGTCAAAGGATCGCAACGATTCAAATATTGAGGTTGAGGGCAAAATTGAGAAAGATCAAATAGGCCATTACGTCCTAACGGTTCTTATAAAAACTCCTCTAAAGTTGACTAAGAGGATTGCAGCAAACGATCGTTTGGTAACAAATAGTCTTCATTTATAAGTTTGTTGTGTTTTCTACCACTTCCTACTTTAATCAACGAGTTCTCTGGAAACCAAGGATTGATAGAGATTGCTTTTTGGTACGTGTGCTCTCAGGGGGGTGGAGATATTGCTTCCAGAACCACCGATGGAATGCGCCAGTTGACAATCTATTGATACATCCTTAATGGTGATTCTACCGTAACTAATTGTTAAACTATTTTACACTTACTTTAGGTAAAGTGATTGTAATGATTGCAAATTACTGGATAATCTCATCGTTTGCAATTAAATATCCATATAAGTCGCAAGAAAACTTTAATAAATGTTAACTAGAATTTTGATTTAAAATAAAGTATAACGAACTGAGCATTTTTTTGTTGTAAGTTTCTGTTGTTTCGTATGAGTATATAAAAATTATTTCTGTATTGATAATTCGTATGAAAACTAAATGCTTAGAGTAGTACGTTCGATTTCCGTTCAAAGCCATTTTCGTCGGCTCGAGCCAGCCTGTTTCGGTAGAAGTGGAATCGAGTGCTAATTCGTCTGTGTAAGAATCGAATCCATACCATTGAAAATCATTACGTTTCCGTGAACATTGTTGTCTTTATATACTGAAAAAACACTGCAGTAAATTAAAGATCTTTTTAATTTTTAAAATTTAAGCCTTAATGTCAAACGAAAGTACCCGAAATGCGGGAATTTTTTGGTTCTCTGCCCATCGTAGGTTCTGCTTTGCTCACGATAGGGTTTAGTTTGGTGGGATATTGCGATGCAATCTGCCAAAAAAATGGAGTGGCACGTAACCGTCGTTTCCGTGTTCACAAGTATTTATTTATTACAAATATGAATAAAACATGTTAGTGAGACGCAAACCGTGACCAAATACCAGTGTTCAGAGTTTTATCCACTTCGTCATTGCTCTCCCACCATCGGGCTGCTGGATGTTAAGGGACAGAGCTCGACATATCCGGAAGAGACCATCATGAAAATTTTATGGGGTTGTCCCATAGTGGTAAATTTTTACCTCGGGCATCCTGCCAGCAAAGTTGCATGATGCGATAAAAATCGCAAATTCGCTCGCTAGTAAATAGGGAAAGAATGATGTATTAAAATTTATAATACTTTTATAAATTAATTAATTAAACTAAGAAAAATAAAGACGATTCATTAATTATTTCACAAACTTTAAACTCTTATAATTCATCCAGTAATGTCGTTCGACATCGATTATTGACGATTGTAATGGCAAATTATTCGGTAAGATGCGCTTTTCGGATTAATATCTGACAAAAGTATTTATTTCAAACGAGGGCATTTAGTTAAATGATCATCATCTCGATCTTTCCGTCATTTCATCGTCTGAAACGCTTTCTAAGTACAGTACTTGTTTCCAATACATTATGCTCGTAATTAAGATACGAATCCAGTGATTTCCAATTTATTATTAATTAAAATTGTTAAACAATAATAATAATCCGGCATTCGTGTGTATTTTTAGATTTTAAACGCTGTCCTTACTATTTTTGGGAAGTTGAACAATAAATCTCTCGATTTCTTCTGTTTAATGTAAAACTTCTTTTTAAAAGTCGCGTTATAGCGAGGTATACTTATGTTTTTTTTTATAACTGTAAAAACTATTATTTTCACCGCATTGGCAGTTTCAATAACCCATCCAAAATGTTCTGCAAGTGTAATTAAAACTTTATCATTTTTTGGCTAAATTCTCTCTCTTGTTGATTTTTTTGTTTTTGTAAATCGCCTTGGATTTCAGAAAATAAAAGCAAAAGCTCGTTTATACCTATAACAATTACTGTATACTTTTATTCAGTAACGGAATTTTATATTTGTGCAGATTGAAATATATATCGAAGTATTTTTGTAGTTTATATGCATAAAAAATCTAAAACAAAAATAATTCGATCTTCCTGTTGGGTTGCATTTAAACGCCAATAAGTGTAATTTCGAGATTTTTAAAATTTCTCAGGCTGTGACCAATGGTCGGAAGAGAGATTTCCGCTTTCAGTTTTTATTTTGTTCCTGTGATGTGATCGAATCTGTTTATAAAATTTTCCATCATTGGTCGAGTGTTAAAACCATTAAACTCTCGGTCACGGGTTCGCGCCCGATCGACACACTGGTCACGTGAGTTATCCCTGTTTCATTCACGTATCTAACGCCCAAATAGGGACTAGTTTCCTATAAGTCCTCTGTTTGGCAGATCGCCCAAGTGTTGCATTGTCTTAATCCATTAAATCAAACCAAACTTCTTCCTCCCTTTTGGAAGTGTGTGTAGGCTACTAGTAAATAATCAAATAAATAAATTCAAAAGTAAATTAATTTATAAAATATATATGAATCCAAAAGTGTCGTTTTGTAATCAAAAATAAATGTTTTAGATCTTTTATAAGTGAACGTAATAAAATTCTGTAATTTGTGTTTTTAGTTATGTCTTTCTCAATAAAGTTTTTGATAATTTTTCTTTTGTTTTAGATCAGAAAGAAGAAGAAAACGAAAAAGCCGAGAGAAGACCCACTACACTTACTTCTTCAGAATACTGTCTGCTAGAATGTGAGTTACTTATCATTTTACGAGTTCAGGCTTGCTGACCGTTCTTTTATTTATTATTATATATATACTAGAGATCGAAAGAATAATAGGAAACTGCGAGTGTAAAAATGATTGCCCTACATTTATCAAATTTACTGCTCCGTTGTTCGGCGCTCTTTTCTGTCCATGATGTTAGACACCGACGTAGGCATCGTGACATTAAGATGGGCATTATATTTAGTAGGTACTCAGAGGGGCAACACTACCACTTGTAAGGAAGCCTACTTCAGTGCACGTGTTAACGCATACTTTACTGTTCGACAATGTTGAAAGTTTAAGGCATCATCGTATCTCTGGGGTAAGATGATAAATCGGGATGCGATTCTGGACACTCCAGAATCGAATCCCGGTGAGCCATTCTAGAATGTTTTTTCCACATTTTTTCAAAGATATGGCGACCCCGCTTTACCATCTGGCCGTTTTCATTGTGGGCCGTGGATAAAGGTACCCACAGAGCGGATATTATAAAAAGGGGGGATGACGCTAGGAGGTTTGCATTTGTCTTCCGGCATCGAGTCGGAAATTAACCAATTAGCATTTATGTAACTCTTAAATACGGGAACGAATATTGGTTAACTCGGATCGGCGTGGATTTGAATGCGGATGGCGTTAATGTTGTCAGAAAGACGATAGTTGTGTTTTTTTGCCAAAAACGACACCTCGAAGACTTTTTTGGAAGAGAAAGACGGCCACGAAACATAATTTAATGAGATTGAAGGTACGAGGAGGTAATCTCGCTTACGTCATTCTGCAATTTATTGCTTTTCGCGTTTTCTGCGGGATATTTTCTACCCGAAATTCCAGATGTTAATCGTGACGCAAGAAAACGAAATTTTAAATTAATTAATTTTGAAATAATCGGAAACGACCTGTTAATTAATTACGTTTCCGTAATTTAATTTTCTTTTGATTTTTCTAGAAATAAATATCGGAAATTTTCGTTAAATAAGCGTTTTATTTATTGTTTTTATTAATGTTATTGGAGTAACATTGATAAAAACAATTTAAATCATTAAAATGAATTTTTCTGGTTGTTTTTTGAGGATTTAATTGTTGCGGAGTGTCGAGGCACGCCGTTGTTAATTAAAGTGTAACCAGTTTTGATTAGAGGAAATTACGAACAATTATCTCTGTAGATACGAGTTTGATTGGAATTTTCTACTCCTTATTATTCTCTAAAGCGAATTATCGTCTATTTTTAGTTATTAGTAAAGAATCAGCGTTTTCGAAAAATTTGTGTAAAATAATTCGAGAATTTTGGAATTTCAGAGGCTAAACAACAATAAATGCTTGAAAAATCCTGGCTTTATTTAAATATTCGAATTTTTAATGGTGAATTTATTTCCGAGCGTTTCTCTATTTTTACTTGTTTTTTTTAATTAACTTTTCGTAATACTTTCACTAGACTATATTTTTCAAAATGACTATAAAATTATTTTAACTATAAAAAAAACTCGGCTCGTCTACTTTTTTGTTCGTGTTTTTCGGACTGAGCGCGGTGTCTTTATTGGAATTCAACGTGACAATCTCTATTGTATTTTTTAGTGTTTAATACAATACGTCAAATTGTAAAAAATTCACAAAATCGAAGTAAATTGCATAAAATACAATATAAAAAAGTCAAATATTGTAGCCAATTAATTCGACATTTCGCTAAAACGTATCTACTTAACTGTCACCAACGATAACTCTCTGCTTGATAATTATTTTAATTACGTTCGTACATCATTAACGTTGATACTTTCGATAAGAATCTCGCATCCTCCGTACACGTTATGCGTGTGTATAACGTATCGTATTTCCTTGCATTTTTAAATATTTTTTCCACTTTAATTACGGGAAATGGGATAATTATTTATAGTTTTAATTCGTCTTTTTAAAGTAGAAACTAGTTTTACTATAGGACGATTTGGAATTTTTACAATTTTTTTTGATTTTTTGACGTAATTCTCGTAAAGAAAATGTTTAATAACCTCGAATTTTCGGATATTTTGTAGACAATTTTAATTAATTTTTTTAATAGCGATTAAAAGTGATAGATACATGAATAAACGTTGATTTCGTCTTTCGTAATTTATGGCGGAGAAAGCGTTGTCTGTCTCTTCTTCCGAACCGTTTTCCGGATTGAGTTTAGAGGTCAAATGTATTTATTTCCGCGGTAGATTTGATAACTATGGCAACGAGAGGTCGGAAGTTACTCGAGCAAAATTTTGAATACGATTTCAATGTGTCTTCTGCCTAAATGCTTTAAGTTCTTGTATATTTTTTAAAATTAAATTTACACATACGTGTTTTTATTATTGTAGTTTTTAGAGGAGAAATAAAAGCATTTTGTGTCGCCATCTGTTGAGAATATTATCGAAACGGTTGGTCTCAGTTTTATTTATTTTTATTTTAAGCAAATTACCTAACTGGTGTATGCGTAAAAATTCAATAAATTTCGAATATCCTTTAGAAAGTAAACTGTAATTATTTTTGAATTTTCCCTTCTAAACCAGTTTGTGTACTGTATATAAATAAAGCTGATGTTTTGTTTGTGTTTCTGTCGTGTGAATGGAGGTCGTCACCCGTTAGGACTTAACAGAAATGTCTGCAGGAGAATTGGCCTCTTGCCAAAATATTCGTCTAGGTTAGTCTGGTTCAATAGGTTGTCACCTTCCAGTTTTTCGTCGATACGAATGACCTAGTTCTTCTCTATTTCTTCGTTTACAAGTTTCCAATTGAAATATTGTTTTCGCGCAAAACTAGGTCGAGATGCCGTTTACGAAAATATTTTTTCATCTACACAAAATAATTTTAAGACCTTCGAAATTCGACGAATTCTTTTTAATTCCGTAGAATTGCGAGTTTCGTTTGTATACCAGAAACCAGAAAATGTGTTCTTGCTTCTGACGTGGGCAGTTGAGAGGCCGAGCCTACATTACCTTTGTAAATAAATAAATGAAGAAAAAACCGAATACGTACAGGAAAAAGAGTCGAATGTGTGTATATTCTTCATCGAGTTTAGCCACTGTAGTTGCGGATGAAGGGTAATGTCCACGCCGATGCAGGGGTTAATGTAAGCCTGCGCTTTGTAATTCGGGTTTAATATGGGTTCTAATTACACTATTGGAAATAGGAAACGTTTCTAGTTTAGAATGTTTTGTTGGAGATATTTTTGTCTTAGGAAATGCTAACAGAAAACATTAGTAGATCATCTCAGAACTCTCAGAAGAAACAGCACCAAGAGGTTGGAGATGTGGAGACATTTCCAAAGTTTAAATTTATCAGATATGATAGAATCTGAAAGAGTAATTCAGAAAATGTTTCCATTCAGCTTTAGTTTAATGCCCAGATTACCAGTTGGTAGTTTCCTCTGGGATTGTTAAGATCTGATAGTTCTGTAGAAGTTTCAGTGATGGATTCATCTTGTTCTAAAGCATTTTGTACAATAACATTTCTGATAGTTAATTTGGATTTTATCCAAATTAACTATCAAAAATGTTATTGTAACTGAGCTTTGCAATTCGGGTTCCTTTTAATATGGGTTCTAATTACACTATCGGAAATAGGAAATGTTTCTAGTTTAGAATGTTTTGTTGGAGTACTGTCTCATATTCCTCCTGTAGGTTGTTTGTCTTTCAGTTATCAAAACTATTCTTTTGTGCAATGATTCATAATTCTTGTCAATATAAGTATTCTTGAATAAAGTTTATATCTATAAATGATTACAAATTCTATACTGCAAAATTGTTTTATTTAAAATAGATTGTTTGACTGTGAGCCTTTTTTAGATATTGAATTTGGTAGTTTGGCTTTTCGTCATCCTTGTTTACTTATATTGGATCTGTAAAAAAATATACGTAAGATACATGATGGTAAGATTTTTATCTGTTTTTCTTTTTTTTTTAAAGTATCAAATTCTCAATTATCATAATATATAGTACATTGCTTAAAATAATATATAAAAGTTATTTTAAAGTTAAAAATATGAATTTATGAAGAATTAAAGTTCTCTTAAAACATTTCTCAAAACTTTGACCTATTATAATTTAACATAATTTTTGAATATAGGCCTGCATAACACTAATATACAGGATCTTCCAAAAAGAATTCTTTTAAATTACTGTAATTATGTTAATTATTACTTGAAAAGTATGCAATGTACTGTACACCAATCAATAAAGTAACTGTCCTAGTTCCACCATCTGCATTCAAACACCTTTTGGTCTATTGCCTCTAGAAAGCACCACAAACAAAAATGACACACTGCGACAGAGAAAGTGTTTTGTGTTTTACAAAATCAGAATCAGTCATCATGTTGCACAATGATGACTGATTCTGACTTTGCAAACAGCAGAGTGCAAAATTCTTTCTCTGTTATGGAGTTGCAATTTTTGTTTACAGTGCTTCCTAGAGGCAGTAGACAAAAAGACATTTGAAACTCAGACAATTACTCTATTGATTGGTGTATATCACATACTTTTCAGGTAATAATGTAATTACAGTAATTTAAAACGACAGCATTCTTTTTGGAAGACCTGTATATGTAATACTATCAAATGAAAACATTTTTCTATGAATTTAAACTTTTTAACATTCAATAAATTTTAAAAACTAGATTTGAAATATCATAATTTTTTAATTTGATAAAATTTACAGGCTCCATCAAAAACAAATTAATATAAAAGTTCTCTAGGACATTGTGAGAGGTTTTACATTCTTTTATAAAGAATTTTCAATATAAAGAAGAATAAAATAAGTTTTGTGGCAAGATTCAGCAGAGTCCATAAACATGGGTGTGCTATGTGGGAAGTTCAATGGGTCAGAACCCCTTCAAACTTTAGCATGAAGCTGTTGGACATACTTAATTTTAAATTACATTTTGTGATCTTATTTTGAACTTAGTACCATTAACAGGAAATTAGAATGTTAACCAATGATATTTAAATCTTTCATCAATAGATGTATATGCAATATCA